ATCTGCAGGCTCCCACATCATGGGAGTGTTTCCCATGGCTATTTACCAAAGCAACTGTAAGAATCCTGTAATAATGACCTTTGATCTCTGACATACACAACACGTGCCTTTATACTGGAAACTTTACATTCCTTGCAGAACTTGGATACAAAATACAGAAAGATTGCCACAGGAGATTAATACATTGTTTTGGGTTTTTTTTTAAAGATAATCTAGGAGCAGGCAGTAAATTACTGTAATAAACCACAAGCAAGGCAGCCCTGACAACTGTTGTGATTTAAAAAGTTCTAAAGCTGGGGGTTCATAAAGCAGCATTGTCATAAAGACCTAAGAGGTCATGAGTAACAGAGAGACAGAAGATAAGAAACAACTCTGTGCTGGCTCCTCCATCTCCACAGGCAGCAATCCACAAATCAAACAGAAATCTGCAAATTGAACCAGAGGAGCTCAAAAGAGGAGAATTGTTGCAGGTCTTCCCACCACAATGTTCTTAGGAGTCAGCCTGTGTCCATTGCTGCCCCCAGCAGAAGGGGCATCCTGAACACCAGAGGGGCTGGAACACAAATTCCATGGAGAATGAAGTGTGGGCAGCCCAGAGCTGCTCAGAGGAAACCTTTAGAAGCTGATTGTACCCTGCTGAAACAGCACTGAGCTCACCTGGCTTTTTGTCTGATAAGGGATTTATCATCTCTTCAATGATACTGAAAGCAGTATCTGATACTGGAACTGTATTTACAGATTAGAAAAAAAGTATTCTCAAAATTCTTGAAGACCTGGCAAATCAAATGTATATAAAGCTCAAGGGAAGAGGAGGAGCAGACACTGATCTTTCCCCTCTGGTGACCAGTGGCAAGACCCAAGGGAATGGAGCTGTGCATATATCTGTAGGGAACAGTATGAATATTTTTGGGGAAAAATGAGGAACTCTGTAGTGGACAGGCAGGGAAAATTTTGGAGGCAAAACTTGACTCCAAGAGTAGAGAATTAACACTTCCAGGGAAAGATGAGGTGATGAGTAATGCGCGTGTAAGGAAAGATGTGAGGGCAGATCTTGAGAAAAGCTCCATTAAATAAATAGTTTGAAGTAAAAATGAGAGAATTGGTGGTGGAAAAGTAGGAGAATTTTTTCTTTCTAGATTGTGGATAATCAGGGAAAATATTTGGGATAAAGAAATGAAGTGCACAAGGAAAGCTTCGTGTTCCCAAGGGAATGCTTTAGGGATGCGCAGTTTCTGAACTGCACAAGTAGAGTCAGGCTCCCACATAAATCTTCCAAAGCTGGAAGGGACAGGGAAGAATATTCCAAGAGTGGTGTGGGAAGTGCTTTCTCCTAGGTCTGGACACTACTGAGGTGGGAATGACTTAAAAATATTCCTTGTCCCTCTCTTGTTCCCAGCCCAGCACTAAGCTGGTGCTCCCTGCGTGGCTGCAGCTCCCTGGATGTGGAGGGAGGAGGTCTCTGCTGGAGAGTGGGAGAAATGTCCCTGCTGGTTGCTGGGTCCTTGGTGGGCAGAGAACTCTGATCTTGGCAAGATGGGTCAGTGAGTATTGAACCAGTCCTGCCTCCTTTTAAATGAGTTGTTTTAATAGTCACCAGCAGGGACCACTTTTAGCCAGCTTTGGTAGAGGTCTTCTCCGATTTCCGAGCCTTGTGAGGCAGCAGATTGACTTGGCTTGGGAACTAAACACTTCTGAGTAATTTTCTGGTAACATCTCCATGTTTGACAGCTGATCCTTGTGCTGAAAGGATCTCTCTTTCTTCCCTTCAGACAATTCCAAGGCTCACTGTTCCCATCTGGGAACAGTCCCCAGTCTGGATCTTCTCATGGAGTTTCCCTGCTGGGATCCTGCTCAGGAATCCATGTGGTACAAATTCAGCAATTAATTCTTCTCACCCCTTCCAATTCCAAAGGATTTGGTGTCTGCCTTACCCAGCTGGAGTCTGGTTCCAGCTCTGTTCTTCCTGCTTCTGCTGCTTTCCACTTCCCAAAATTCCACCAAGAGTGACAGTGTTTTCCACCTCCTCCACGATTTCCTCTGTTGGGTTTGGGAAGAATATAAAAACCTGCTCCCCCCCAGGGCTTTACTATCAGGAGTTACATCCCTGGATTTGTTCATTTCCTAATATTATCTCTTGCCAACAAAGCACTGGGTATCCAAGCAATACAGAAAGGGATGTGCTAACCACTGGTCACCCCTCTGGGATGTCAGAGCTTGGAAAGAAGGGCAGTTTGGGCTCTTCCTGGTGGCAGCTGTGAGGTGTATTTTACCTAAGAGCCCCTTGCCACATCTTCCCCTGAATCCACCAAAAATCCACCTGTTCATTCCCCAGCTGCTTCCTCACTCTTTTTCTTTATCCAACAGAATTTTAACAGGTGAATATTCCCCTCTGGAATATTCCAAACCTAATAGCAAACAATTTCCTTTGACCTTCATTACTAGGATTTCACCAGGAGCTGGTGGATGGAAAATGATCCTCTCCTGGCCCCTGCTGGATTCCTGGAGCAGGGATTCTTTCCCTCCTTCCTCTGCCCCCTTTCAGGCTTTGTTCCACAACTTTTGTTTCCAATCCTTGGATCCTCTCTCCAGGAGCTCCCAGCAGTTCCACACCCTCTTTTCTCCCATCCTGATAATTTCTCCAGGAATGGATCTGTGCATTTCAATTCCCTTTGCCTTCCTCCAACAATTCCCACCAGTCCAGACCTAAAGCTGACACAAGGAGTGCTCGGTGGGAGTGCCCACAAATCCAAATCCAGACCTTGCCATCCCTAAACCAGCAACTCCAAACACAATCCTAGAAAATTTGCATTAATTCAAACCTAACATTTAAGACACACCAAATACTTTAAAATGCCCAAGAAACATCCTCTTGCCTTCAGCTCCCAGGGGTTTTTGCTTTGAACTCTAATGGATTTGGGGATCAAGGGACTTCCCTGCAGAAACCTGTGCAGTGCATGTTGGAATGCCCAATCCTGTGAATCCAAGGAGTGTTAAAAGCTTAGTCCAACCTGGGCCACCACAAATTTGTGCCAAATATCCCCCAAACCCTTGGGATAACAGAATCCTCTGTACTGCATTTTTAGTGTGGAAAGCCAGGAATTACTTTATTATCCTACCTCCTTTTTAATGAGTTGTATCAATTAGTCATCAGCAGGGACCACTTTTAGCCAGCTTCAGTTAAGTTTCACAGATTTCTTGTTGTTTTGATCATGAAATAGCCAAAACCTTAAGTCTGGCAAATTAAACCTGAAATTTTTAAATGAACAGATCCTGAGGGAACTGGTGACTGGCTATCTTGGATCTTATGGCCCTTCAAGGAGATGTTAGATTTACCCACTGATTTCGGTGCCAAGGGAAACTCCAATTAAGAATAATCAAATTATGAATCAGTTCTCATGAAACTCAGCTTTTCAAAACTTTATTCAGGATAAAAAAGGATGAGAATGACCTTGGCAAATACAATAAAGAAAAAAATCTATGCATATCCCACAGTGATACAGACCAGCAGCAAGACCACTTCTCTCATATTTCTGCTTTTTGCCTTCCAAGAAAGGGACTAAAACTTGAAAAATTGAGTAGTATTTCAACTTTGGAGCATAGTATTAAAGAACAAGTTTCAGAAACACACATCAAAAAATTCAAGACTTGAGGCAAATGTCAAATTAATAAAATTAATTACAGTATTACCTAGTTGAGGTTCCTTAAATTAACTGTAGTATCTTTCCTTTTTAATTCTTGCTGAAAAGTGAACTTTTTAAATACACAGTACCCACCAGTTGTAGTGGCACAAAAGAAAACACAGTGAGCTATAACCTTGAATCCCTACCCAGCCTTTAAAAAATTGCTATTGTACATTGACACCTGTAGCTACCTCAGCACCCACAGTACTTCACACATGACTAAATACCCTTACAGTCACTCTGATGTCATCACCAGAACAAGGATTTTAGTTCCCTAGACTCCTTGCAGGACACCTCTAACCTCAGCAGCATCTCTGCTGGTCAGAAGCAGAAGGTTGGGCACACAAGATGCCTGCAGTGTCCTAAAAACTAAGTAAAAGGCTGCTGTAAAAAAAGGATATTAAAAAATAAGAATTGAAGCTGTAGTAAACAGCTTCTAGGAAACAGTTTTAGACTCAGTGAGACACTTGAATTTGCTGTCAGTTTGGTGATTTAAGGCTGTTCCCATGCATCCTTCCCAAGCAAACCCCGGGGAGCTTTGCCTGATTGAGACATGGAGGCAATCGAGTGCTACTGCACCCAGAGCAGGACTGCCTGCCCAAACCCCTGGCAATGAAACCTGGGCTCCCTTCAGCCCAAACCCACCTCTGGGAAACAATTAACAAGGAAATCTCATCCAGTTTCCACCTAGCATTTTCTTTCACTGCACAGGACATGCAGAAGAACTGCTTTTGTACTCCTATGCCATCGCCTGGTACTTAGGAGTAAATACAAAATTAATAATTTTTTTTCAGTATCCCACACATTATCAAGCAAAAAATTCAAGGTACTTTTGGAACAGTACCCAAAGTCACCTTCTGTAGTTTCTTTCATTGCCCAGGGATGAGAACTGTGACCAGATGGAAAAGTGTTTGCTCTTCAGAGAGTCTATTCCAAAATACAAAGGAAGCCAATTTTTTATCACTGCCTACCTCTCTGTTTTGATTACAAGGCAGCTGCAACACCTTCAGCCATAAATGTTCATTGGCATCCTTCAACTCAACAAGCATCTTTAAACTGATGTTGCAAAGGTTATGAGTACAAGGCAAACACTCCTGGCCCTCAGAGCTCTGTAAGGATTACAATTTGGCATAAGCAAGGTGAATAATCCAACACTTGTCATTGCTTTCATAGTTCACACTGAATAAAATCCTGGGTATGCACAGTGTTAGGAAGTAGGATATTACTGCCACTTTATTACAGCACTAAGAAAAAGCATAAGTGAGTGTGTGCTGCCCTGAGCAGCTGCACTGTCCTCCCTGGACATGGAGCACACAACACAGAGCACGAGGCATCATCACCTCTCCACACACAGGTTTAGCACAGTTACATGTCTTACTTGCCAGAGAGTAAGCATTTCAAAATATGAAGCACTTCAAAATATGAAGCATTTTTAATGTAAATGTATTTTCCCAGCACTGTGCATCAGCCACCTCTGTAACTTTGTTCTGTTCCCCATTAAATGTTTTCTTCTTTTTCCTTCCCTTCTACACAAGATCCCTGAATAACAGTCATGTTTAGAAGGAGAACCTCATGTCCTTGGCATAGCCCAGCTTGTCCAGGTTGGGAATGCAAGCATACTGGATCATTGGAGGAGGTCCACACATGAGGATCAGAACATCATTCTGAGGTGGGGGCAGGTGGTCTCTGATCATCTCTTGGTTCACAAATCCTTGGCTGTAATCCCAATCTGTTAAAAGAAAATGAAAGTAGGGGAAGGGGAATGAGGTAAAAAGGAGGAAAAGAGAGATACAAGTCACTTTAGAAAGGAGGAAATCCTGCTGATGAAGTTGTTCCCAGTTGGAACACTTGCAGTGAGAGTCAGTTTTACTGGGATTCAGGTTAACCATCACATCCCCAGCCCAGGATGCAGAACAAACCTGTGCTGCTGCTGACCCAAACTTTTGGGCACCATAAGACTGACACATTTTTTTATCCCAGTTTTGGTCAGGCTTCACATATGACAGTGAAAGTCTGCAGAACAGTCTTGAGGAGGTCCAAGGAGGAACTCTGATCCAAACTGCTAAGATCAGTTCATGATTTCCCCAAAGAAGCAATGGCAATCAGAAATTGCAGGAGAACACTGGTTGCAGTGGGTGACACAACAGAAACAGAGCCTTCCCTCAACATACCAGAGCTGTACTCTTGGTCACAAGGAAGAGGAGGTATATATAGCTTTTCCTTCTCTGCCCCAAACTCCCACTGAATACAAGTGTGAATTTCATGTGGGTGGGCACAACAAGGAATGGTAAGGAAGGAAAGCCACAAGGAATGACACTGTTTAGCCTTCTCTTCCTCAAGCTTGTTCAGCAAGCTTAGACAGGGATCTGTGCCCATGAGCTCCACAGTGCCTCTGGCACTGCAGCTGCCTCAGAGCAGGCTCCAAACACAAGGATAACACGTTGTATTTATGCCTGTGGGGAAGGAGAAAAGAAGGTCACCCTCCACAGGAGACAATGGTAAATCTGCAGGTGTAGCCATGGGAGGAACACTGCACTGCCACTGGCCTGAGGAGAGCTTTGGAAACACTTGGAGCCTGTGTGCATCCCTGTGTGGAGAATGAGGCTGCTCAGACATTCACTAAGCAATGAATGCACTAAGAAATTAATCATGGAGCTCAGAAATACACCCGTGGCACAGCAGGTCTCCTGTAAAGCACACTGAGGCTCCTGAGCCTCATAAGCAGTGGCACTCCAGGTCTTACTTTCAGGCGCCGTGTCCAGCGTGTACCAGCACTTGAAGCGCGCGGGATTCTGCGCCTGGATCTCATCGAGCTCGGAACGTAACAGGATGTCCTTCTCAGTCTGCAGGACAGGGAAACAGTGATCACACCCTGCACGTGAGAGCAGCCCTCACATGGCCACACAGCAGCAGCTACTGCACAGCCCTGACAGATGGAAGAGATGGTTCAACTCCATTTCAAAGGCTGAAGAGGCCAAACCCAAGTTATTCCCATGCCTAGCCTGTGGCAGAGCTAATAGAAGGCTCATAACTTTCCAAATCCTGACCATGCAATGCCTTCCCTCTAAAAATAAAACAAAGCAGAACCATCACTTAATCAGGGAATCAGAAAAATAAAGCCCCTTTTAGCATTATCACATCATAAAACTAATCATGGCTGCACAGAAATATCTCCCTACCCCTTCATTCACCCCTCTGCCATTCAGACAGGGAAATGCCAGTTTTTTCACCTTCATCAATTCAAGCATATTCAGCATTGCCATATGGAGACTGCTTGGCTTTTAAAAAGCATGTGGAATGAACAACCAAAAGGGTATCAAGTTCTGGTTGGAACAATAAACATTACTCAGGGTATCAAGTTTGGCTCCTCCCTGATGCAGCATCACTGAAGGCCAAAGGAAAGCCTTATTTCCCTCAGAGCAGCTGCAGTCTGGGCAGGAAGGAAAAGGGCAGGGACTGAAAGTGCTGCCATCCCCTGCAGCCATAGTAATTTGGCACAGAGGTCACCACTAAGTCCATAACTGTGGGGATAAGGAGGAATGTGCAGCAGCTATTCCACAGAAGGTGCTATTCCTGGATCTGCAGCTGTGGGTGCTCCAGAAAAACTCCTACTGGCTCTGGCCAACTCAAAGTGTGCCAGCCAGAAGCACACTAGGAGCCCATGTACATTGTTTTAAACACTTTAAAATATTTTTAAAAATATCTGCTTCCTATTTGTGGAGTTACTGGGTGCAAGGACTCTTTAAAGTCAGGGACTGATGTTTCCATAGGTAACAGGGAGGGAACTGTTTCCCAGGCTCTCCCTCCCAGCTGCACTGGGCTTCCCATGCTACTAAAGCAGCTCCAGCCCTGTGTTAGCCATTCTGAATCATTCCCAGCAAATCCTGGCCCTCCTGCCCTGATACCACTGCACTTTATGCCAAATCCAAGGGCTCCAGCCAACAGCAGAGAGCACTGGCAGGGCTCCTCAGAACAGGGCATCTCAGCACTTGGATCGTAGCTCCTGGGCAGGAAAACCTCAGGCTACAACTCAGCTATCACAGAACTGCCTGGGCTGGAAGGGACCTTAAAGCCCATCCAATTCCACCCCCCAGCTTGCTCAGAGCCCCAGCCTGGCCTTGGACACTGCCAGGGATCCAGGGGCAGCCACAGCTTCTCTGAGCAACCTATGCCAGAGCCTCACAGGGAACAATTTCTTCCTCATATCCAATCTAAATCTGCTCTCTGTCAGTGTGAAGCCACTGCCCCCTGTCCTGTCAGTCCAGGCCCTTATCAAGAGGCCCTCTCCATCTTTCTTGTAGGCATAAAAATGGCACAAACGAATGAGCACACACTGAATATGAGAAGAAAAATAGAGGAGAGCCTAAAGAAGCTAAAAACCACAAGCATGAAGCGAACCTCACCGCAAATAAGGACTCAATGCAAACACAAATATTAATTAGAGGGAGAAATTAAAAAGCAGAAAGAGTCACAGCAGAAGAACATCAGGCCAAGAAGGGGTACTGCCCAGCAGCACACCAACACTTGGCTTTTCCAAGAAATCTCTTTTGTAAGGATGCCATGGATGAGAGTTTCCCTCTGGCCAGCTTGCAGGATGCCACACCTCAAGAAGCAAGAGAAGCAGTGAAAAACTGACAGAAGGGCTGGAAATAAAAGCAGACAGCCAAGAAGAATCATAGCTCTGTAACTGAGGGAGCTGCTGGAGACCACAGTTAGTTTTAGCCTCACCCAAGATGTCCTCAGACAGAAAGATTCCACAGACAAAGACTGCTGCAAAGCTGGAGAGTTGAAATTGCTGGAGGAGACAAATATCCACCCCTTTCATGTTTCCACTAAGAGAGACAGCTCTGAAAGTCTGCCCAAAACATTAACAACTTGCACAAAGGAATGCAGGGCTTTAACATTCATAAACTGGATTAGAAACAGAGCAATGAGTCACAGGAAGGCAAACATTAGCAATCCTTTCTGTAGTAATGCTAAACCCTCAATTTATCACTGTACTTTTATATGGGAGGTTTCCAACACTTCAGTTCACTTCTCCCCTCAGGGTTTGTATCTCTGTGATTTCATTTGCTGAGTGGAGTCCTGCTAGGTAAGTAAAACTACAAACAGAAAAAAACGACAGAATTACCTGATTAGCAAACAGCAGCTGGCAAATGGTGGGGTCATCTTTGTCCTTGATGATTGCTCGAATGATCTGCAGCATAGGTGTTATCCCTGGGGGACAGAGGCAGGTCAGTGATGTGAGGATGGGGAGTAAAAGAAGGGACAAGTGGGAAAATGTAAGCAAATGCTTCTAGCAGCTGTCAGAAACCACAGATGAATCCTTACAGGTACCTACCAGTGCCCCCTGCAATCATCCCCACGTACTTCACTGTCCTGGTAACTGGTTCAGCTTTCTTTTCTGGCCGAATAGCAAACTTGCCTGAAGAGAAAGAGATGGAAAACACTGAGGCAAGCAGAAAACTCCTCCTGTTACCCCTTTCCAGCACATCCTGCTAAATTGACTTCATTTCAGCCCTGCCACCCTTCCCTCCCAGACAAGGGAAAATGTGAGGATGTCCTGAATTAGAGCAATCCTGACAGGTGGTTTTAGGACATGAGGTGGTACCATCAGACACTGACAGGGGTTATGACTTATCCCTGATCACAGCCTACATACACACCACCTGTATTTCAATTTGCTATCATCCCACACCCCCAGTGCCATTCACAGGCCCAGATTCTGGAAACAGCTCTACACAAAGGAATTGATCTGCTCAGAGAGTTTATTTTCCCTGAGCAGATTATTTTAAAGAAAAACATAAAATATGTACCCTGGGTTTTTTTTTTTTTAATTTTTCTCTTTTTGAGCCAAACAAAAAGTCTGAAGCTTCCCAAAGTGTTGGGCTGTATTCACAGCTCTCTTCATCCAGAATAATATGAATGCTACATACAAAGCTCTGGAAAACCATGTGTCAGAGTTCTGCTTCACACAAAACTACCAGAAGGTTTTTGTGACACATTAGTGACTGCATTATACTAACAGAAGATATTTTACATTGATATAAAAGCAATGAATAGCCAAAGTTCATTTTTATTTGGGAAGTTAGCAGTGGACAGTGCAAATAGCCAGTGTTTTTGTCAGTGTATAAACTGTGCCTATTTAAGCATGGGAAAAACCCATCCCTTACTTGAGAACAGCATCAATAAAAAGCACTTCTACAGTAACAAGACATATTTCCTGTATTGTTTACTCTGGGTAAATTCTATATTCCAAACCAGCCTTGCCTTTTCCTTTGTACACAAGGAGGCCACTTGGTCCTCTGAAGTCAATGGTGTCCCCTATTTTCAGGCTGTCCAAGTATTGAGACATCTTCCCCCCATCAGGAAACTTGGGATGGACACCTCTGAAGTAGACCTGTCAAAAACAGTAACAAAGCAATTCAGTCTCACAGCTCAGAGAAGAGTATTTGCCCTTCAAATTTTTAGGTACAAATACTCCTCATGCAAAGAACACAGTTACTCCATAAAGAAATGCAGTGTCTGACTGACAAAAGATCAAAATGACACTCCTGCCCCAATTTTTGGACAGAGACCAGTGATTTCTCCACTGTAGTTCTGCAACACAGAAAATATTGATAAAAATCTACACAATTTACACCCAATTTTAAAAGGGGCTAGAAAAATAAAGAAAAAACTCAAAAGACTGATTCCAAAGACCAAAACTCTAAGAGAAAATCCTGCGCAAATATTAATATTTTAAATTCCTAACAGCTTTAAATGACAGGTAGTCAAGCTACCAAGAGGAAAAACAAAAGTGCATTATCACAAGAGTTAAAAAATCACATTCTTACCAATTAAATCAATCATTCCCACTCTCTGGATCAGTAATGATAATGATCATCACTCTCAGTGATCACAATGACCAAATTCCATTAGCTTCAGAGCAGCTGCCCATTCAGGCAAGGTTAATTCCTTATTCCAGAAGGATTAAAAAGCATATGAACATCTGCAGGTCTACACAGAGGGTGCAATGGATGCAGCATCTCATGAGACACCCTCACTGAAGAAGTGCCTGCAGAATGCCACGTGGACTTTTAGGTACTGGCACATTCCTGAAGAGAAGCCAGCACACCAAACTTCACATAAAGGCACTGTAAAGGAGGTTCAGAAGTTGCCCAGCCTGGGAACAGAGCATGACATCTCACCTTGACAACAAGATCCACAAAGCCCTTGTCATCATCACTGGAAACTGGAGTGTAAGGTCTGACAACCAGAGCTCCATCAATCCGTGCAGACAGGTAAATGTGCTGCCCTATTGCAGGGAAAAAAAAAACCCAACATTTTTTTTCACAAACTTTTCTTTCAAAAGACTTTTCTTTCAGTGGATGTGCTGAAATGCAGCCTCTAAGCTCTAACTACCTTGTTTTGTGGGATCACTTCTTCCTTTCTTATTTTCCTGACATTGCCACACCTTGCCAGAGTTGTTAGCCATGCACAGATCTACCTGGAAGGACAGACAACTCCACTGCTAATTCTGTGTGTCAATCAAAACTTCATGCATTTAAATTTACCAAAGCCTGAACTGTACCTGAGATCTTTCAAAAGATGGGATTTGTCTCCCCTGTACAGGCAAATAAAAAGGGACCCAGGAGGGGACAACTGCCAAATGCTGTTCACACATCTTCATTAATGTATTAGCTGTAAAGTTTAGTTAAAGCTGAGTTTGTAACTGTTCTTGCTTTGACCACAGATCCCTCACGTCCTCCAGGAGCTCTCCAGCTGCCTTTGCTGAGGCTGCCCAGACACAAAGCACTTTTCTAACCCTGCTATGCCTCCAGCTTAACATGTGAATGCAGCAACCACATTTCCATCTGTCACACATCCTCTGAGCTCTCTACAACAGTTTCTTTTCTCAATGTCTTCTCATATTTTTTTTCTGAAAAAAGCAAGAAAATAACTAACTTGTATGGAAGGTTTTCCCATAAATTTTCACTATTCTAAAGACACCTAAGTGAAGATTACCCAGGAGGGGAAGGACACGTTTTGAATTTTGGGGTTTTTTTCACCATTAGGTCAACAGAACAAAGCATCTCCAATGATGGCACAGCTCCTCTGCCTGTTATGGGAACACAACAGAGGGGATTTTACCAGGAACTGGTTTGCAAATGATCATAATGACCATATTACACTACCTCCAGAGGCAGCTGGCCCTTCAGGCATGCTTAATTCCTTACTTCAGAAGGATTACAAAGTGCTAGGTGAGGGAAGATGTGCTACCTGGTGACTTGAGGAATGAGCAACCATCACTCACCTGAATCTGTACAGAGACATCATACTCCAGTAACCCTCCCAGCAGAGCCTACAGACATCCTGCTAGGGCACACCTGGAGGGAGCTGCAGCAGGGAGCTCCTGTTCCTTCCCTAGGGCAGAAGAGGCTGCAGGCCACAGAGCCCTGGTGACCCCTGCAGACTGTCAGCCTGGACAGTGGGGCTGCTGCTGGTGCACACCTCACAAGAACTGCTACAAAACAGAAAAGGTGCTCCTCCGAGAGAGAAAATGTGCCTTATGCTCTCACCTGTTTGAGCTTTACCCCACCCTGACAGGACATAAGCTGGCAGCCTCTGCATGGGGCCATATACAACCCTCTCCCTCAGAATGAAGCTTTCAGTGGTTTTGGTGATAAAAGGCAAAAGCTGGTGCGGACCAAACAGCATCTGCCACCCAACTGCTCTGCTGCTCCCAGCTGCTTTTCCATCTCCTGCAGCTTTCAGCTCTCTCTGCTTCCCAAGTCTTACCCTGCAAACCACTCCTCAGTGATCATTTTGGGCAAGCCAGGGAAAGGAACTTTGCTTTCATGGCTATTAAAAAGATCAAGAGATTTTTTAACACCCCAAAGAAGATGGAGCTTAACACCTGGAAAAGGTGCTGACAACAACCACAAAGCTCAGGAGCCATGGATCACTGCAGCAGCTTGTTAAAGCAGAAGTCCTATTGAACACAAGCCACAATTAAAAGCTCTTTACACAAGCAGGAGGAAACAATGGCACTAAGCTGTTATGGAAGGCACCACACCACGTGGCAGGGCCTTTGGAAACAGCTACCCCTGGGTGATTCAAACCTTCCACGAAATTCAGAAGTGAGTAGATCATCTGGTAAACCACATGTGTTAGAGAAGCGGATGAGAGTGGTGCCCCAGGGCATGGAAGGGGACTGCAGGGAATCAGCCCCACAGGAATAACACATGCTGGAAAGCTGAGACTGGAAAAGTACAAGTGAAGACCTGTGTTTGTTCCTCCACTCTCCACAGAAACAAGCTGGATGTTCACTCACATACTCTGCACTTCAGATTACTCACAGCACGAGGATAATCTTGCAGAGCTCTCAGTAACAGACACATGAGCAGTATTCCAAATACAAAACATAGGGAAAAAAACCCACAAAATCTCTTATAGAGTAATTAATGCCATCAACACTTGGATTAATCATAGGGAACATACCTAGAGGGAGACCCAGAACGTGCTCCATGGAAGGGAGGGCAAATCGAAATCTTCTTGTGTCATGACTAACTTCCTGAAAAAGGAAAATCAGAACAGTCAGCTCTGCTGTTGGGATTTAATGTTTGTGATTTCACTTCCAAAACAAGACAAGTCTGGTATCCTGCAGGATTAAGAATTAATGACACTAAACGATACCTGTGTGCAGATTAAGACTAAATGATAACTTTCCAAATATTATGGACATTTATACTTCCTTCTGTGAGAAGGCCACAAGATATAAATTAATCAGCTCTTCAATTCTCATTTCAAGTTTAAATATGCAGGAGTTCAAGGCCAAAGTATTCTGATTTTCATCTCTCAAATTCAGATGAATTAACCATTTCAATGGAAGTAGCAACCAGATTCCTTTTGCTATGGTAAGGTCCTTGAAGTATTTTCCCTGTAAAAATTGAATTAATCCGTAAATAAAATTGAAAAGAGCACTATGTTTCGATATGAACAAAATTATGACAATATATCCAGTCCTGCTGCAATAATTATTCTAATCTTCACTAGGAAAGTCACACTTTTAATAAAATTTTGGCAATAAGTATCTGAACACTATTTCATATATTATGTAAATTTTATGTTTCAAAAATCAGGTCATATTCATAGGAATAGAAAACATAGCAAAAAATGAAAAAGACAGAAAGAAACATCATACAGTTTAATGCCTCATCCAGTGACTTTCTGTTTTTAAGGGTTTTGTAACCCTTATTTTGATTGCCTAACTGTTTCTAAAGTAACCAATAGAGACAAATTTGTTCTTCACAGTTTGACTCATCCTCCCTTGCTATGGTCAGACTGATGAAATTTTTCTCACAGTACCTCATTTTAGGGCAAATCCTGAAGGAAGAAGGCAATGGATTGGCAGTCTTCAAAGGGCTTCTCTGTACTTATGTTTATTCAGGAGCAGTAACTGCCACTGAAAATTCCTTTAGAAAGACAACTAATGTGGACTTCACACTGCTGCCGTTTCTGTATGGAAATTCAGCACTGTATGGAAATCACTGGCTTTTGCCAATAATGCTGCATTTTTATTATGCTGTCTTTAACAGTATGCAGAAAGAACAAAGCTCTGAATTCCCACTTAATTACCTGAGCAATTAAAGTCGAGAGAGTTCAGCTGAAGGTGAATAACACAGGTATTTTGGTACATCGTGAGGCAATTGTGAGAAACTAGGAGGCTCAGGGGATCCCCAACACCAAGATCCACATGCCTGTGCCTCTCTCTGTCACACAACCAGGACACTGAGCCTGTCACCCTGCAAGGTGTCATCAAGGCTGGATTACAGACAGCCTTGGATCAGGATCCACTTCCAGCACAAGGTCACACCCCTTTGGCACTGCCCTGAGCACCTGGAAGCCCTTGGCCACACACTTCTGTCTCAAGTTGCAGTGCCAAGGAGTTTTCCACCCTTGTCAAATGCAAAGCTGAAGAACAGTTTTTGCAGGCTGGTGCTTTGCAGAAGCCACTGAAAGGCAACAAATAATTATGCACACCACTATAAAACCAACCAGCCAGACTGAAGTTGTTTGCTTTTTTAAGGGATGAACTAAATTAGCACACCTAACTATATTATAAAAGATTTTTCCTATGCTATGCACTAGGAAGCAGCCTCAATACTCCTAATTTCTCTGTTAAAGAGACAGGTGTGGCAGACTCAATTTGGACACATCACACAATCACAGAAGGATTTGGGTGGAAGGGACAATAAAGATCACCCAGTTCCACCCCCTGCAATGGGCAGGGACACCTTCCACTATCCCAGCTGGCTCAGAGCCCCATCCAGCCTGGCCTTGGACACTGCCAGGGATCCAGGGGCAGTCACAGCTGCTCTGGGCACCCTGTGCCAGGGCCTCACCACCCTCACAGGGAGGAATTTCTCCCTCATATCCAATCTAAACCTTCTCTCTGTCACTGTGAAGCCATTGCCCCTTGTCCTGTCACTCCAGGCCCTTGTCAAGAGTCTCTCTCCATCTTTCCTGTGGGCTCCCTTCAGGCACTGCAAGGCCACAGTGAGGTCACCCCAAAGCCTTCTCTTCTCCAGGCTGAACAATCCCAATTCCCCCAGCCTTTCCTGACTTCATGAGAAGTAGGGAGTCTATAATAACAGTGTGGTTGCAGCACACCGGGGGATAAATTCAGCAATGCAGCCCCGCCCAAGCCACAGGAACCTCTCAGTTCCCACAAACCCAGGATCCAAAATGACAGTATTTTTTTTGTTTCCTTCGACAGAACCATTCAAAGCCAAGCCATCAGTGCACCTCAAACAAAGCTCTGTTCCACTACAAAGTCTTCTGATAAATTTCTGAATAGCTCATAGCCTTAAAAAGTCAACACTAAAAATTTCCTCAGGTGTGACTTTACACCTGAGAAGCCAAGATAACTCTCTCATGCTTTTGATAGTGGGTTTATCCAATAGAAACCTAGACTTTTCAACTTTGGTGGTTTTGGCTCACTTCCCACAAGCTTAGTTACCAATTTCTGATGGCAAGATCCACCCCTGAAAGCATCATGACCTTCCTCTGGTATCCCACTTGAGCAAGCATTTAATTTTGTACTGGGAGGCTTTACTTTTAACAGAGAGTACAGAAGCTGAGACAGCTTGGGTACTGTCAGGACTGCGTGACTTAAACACCTTTCTTCCTGGAAAACACTACAGTACATCAGTCCACTAACAGGAACCAGCACCAGCAGAGTTCTGGCAGCTGCTGTTGAATGCCACTGACCATGAAAAAGCTGCCTGCTCTGCCTGACAGCAGGACTTGTGTCCCTTAGCCCAGTCAGTGGTGCACAGTTTGGGAATTTCTGCTGACACACATCACTGTGCATTTGATCATTTCCAAGCAGCATTCCCCACTGTAAGCTGTTTGGAAACAAGCTGCTTGCAGAACTGCAAGTTACACCACACAAAGAGCTTTTATAAAGAAGTCTTTTCCTCAAGACAAAAGTATCCACCCTGTTGGGACATCACCCAAGGCTTCAGAAGCTGTAAGCATTTCACAGCACCCATGGAGAGGTCATGCTCAGCACTGCACATGCACCTACCTCCTTATCAATCAGCCTCAGTGCATACTTCACTTCTGGGTCCTTGAGGGTAATGGCAGGCTGGGGATTCCTGAAGAGCCTCATGAAGGTGGTGTAGATCAGCCATATTGGGTATGTCACAACCTGGCGCAACTGCAGCAGCACAGAAACAGTGTCAGACACGTGTGCAGAATGAGTTATTTGGGTGACAGGGAATAGGGTGCCATGCCATGGCACTCTAACCACCAAAAAGTTTATTTGAGCAGGAAGGGGAGGCATTATTTAAAAAAAAAAAATCCCAAACCCACAGATTTGCTTTATGAAGACCTAGCATCACTCCTGGGTTGAGGCACTTGCACACCAGCACAGGGCTGGCAGCTGGACACAAAGTGAGGCTGTCACAGTTCCACACCCCCAGGTGCCCTGACAGGGAGGCTGAATCCCCATCTCCAGCAGGCACACAGACACATGTATCACACGTGTCCAAATACACACAGAATACCCTGAGTTGAGAGGGGCCCATCAGGATCATCCAGTCCAATTCCACACAGGACACCCCAACAATCCCTGAGAGCGCTGTCCAAATGTTCCTTGTGCTCTGCTGGGCTTGGGGCTGTCACAATTCCCAGGGGAGCTCCAGTGCCCAACCACCCTTTGGGGGAAGAACCTTTTAGTAATATCCAGCCTAAACCTGTGGCAGACCACACTGATCAACACAGCCAGACACCCACAAACAGCCCTGACAGGCTCATCCTGTTCCCGTCCCCAGCGATCGGGATGAAGGTCCACGAGTGGGAATTCCACACACACACACCTGTATGACGTGGATCCCCCAGCAGCTGGCAGAGTGTGCCCACTCTCCAGGCTCCCCAGCTGCTGCCATCTGGACACAGGGGCCACTGCAGCACAGACCCCCTCACAGGCCACCCCATAATTTGGGGTCTCACACGTGGCACAGACCCTGTTCTCTCTCTGGCGGCTGAGCAGGGCTTTGCCAGCCACGCCACGCTGCTGCTGGGTGCTGGCACCATGCACACACCCTCCAGCTCAGAGTTTGGGGGCAGGCACTGGCACTCCCACCACCACAGAGCCCTGCATGCAGAGCAGCTCCCCTTCCCTGGGAAAGCAGCTACGCTGCAGGACACAGCCAAGGGACAGCCCTTCTTGTGCCTTTACTATCATTTTCCTCACCTCTGAAGCCCTGTAAGACAGGAACAGATTATGCTCTGATACCACACCACCCTCTTCACATTGGGGCAGGAGAATAAGCTGCACAGCTACTTATAAAAATCCTCTCTGACTCAGTAATTTATTATTGAACACTTCAACAGAGGAAAAGCCTGACTATAGCAAAAACAGAAAAAATGAGCTCCAAGTTCTGCCTGCTAAGCTTTCACTTTCATTTTATTTTAAAGTGACCTGAACAATATTTTAGAATAGCATTTGTGCAACTGTGGCAGTCCCTCAGGAGGCTATAAAAACTTCCTACATTATTAATAATAAAACTGTGGGACAGCATAAATTCTCTCTTCCTAAAGTGCAGGTTTAAAATGTACCATCACTGTGTACAGCCTGAGGGCAAACCACGCCATACACACACTGCACTTTTCACTTTTATTTGGGAATACTGAAATAGCTACATAAAGGTTGTTTCTGAAGAAGCTGAAGTTAAAAGGAAAATTATTCCTTAACTCTCATAGATCCATCAGATTACTGCAGCTCTGGGAAGAAATTTTGGGATTGAGTCACAAAAAAGGGCAGAGGGAGGGAAGCTGTTCAAGGTGACAGAGCAGCAAGTAAACTCCTCAATGAGAAATCAACAGGTGAGTGAGGTCTGGAGGCAATAGCAAGCTGACTTTGCAGCTGGTGTTTCAAATGAGACATTAATAAGTTAAAACAGTTTTATTTCCAAATGTGGCTATCTCAAATGAACCAAAAAATAGAGCTGCTGTTGTCAGGCAATGAGAAATAATTTTAACACAGCACTAACCTCGTGGAAAGCAATTTGTTATTCATGGTCAATTAGTGCAAGTCTCATGGGATTTGGCCTGGAAAGACAGAGCACACCCCCTAATTCAGATAGCTATTTTAGTCCCTTACTCAGATCTACCACCAGGTGGGCAGAAAAAAGGGGAAGAACTGAAGGCTGAATGCTTACAAAAAGCCATGCTAAGAAAAACATTCTCTGGGTTAAAAGTGGCCTACATACTCTCACCACAGGGCAGACCAAGATGTAAATGAAGATAACTGCACAGCACCAGGTCTCCAGCAGCAGAGAGCAACAGGCTGACCACAGGGCCTGGGAATCACTGCATGGGGACCTCGTGACTCATCATTTCCAGCTGCACTAATCTTTGCAAACAGACAAGGCAGAATTAGTAACAGAGCAGGAATTTTTATTAATGGAAAAAGGGCTCTGTGTGATAACAAAGAGAAAAGCCATGGAGATTGCAGTGCCGGGCGTGGTGAGCACAGCACAGTCCAGCACACAGGCTCACAGGCTGCCCTGCCCTGCAAACACACAAACCAAACCCTGCTTGGGCATGAGACACGCTGTACCCTCGGCTTCACACACCCTGGCTCTGAAGGAATGGCAGCTAACAGACTCCTCTCATCTGTTTCACACACCAACGAGAGGATAACGGGATCCCTTCACTTGTGCAGCTTTAGCCTCATCCCCCCCGTTCAATGCACCTTACAAGCAGCTGCACCCAAAGGAGCACAGGCTGAATCCAGCTCCACCCAGCCCTCTCACAAACACGGAGAACAGAGTGTTTGAGCACTGGAGCAAAGATTCGTAAGGGGCAGCTGGGCAAAGAGGGAAGCGATGCGTGCGGAGCTGACAGCGCTGCAGACTCGCTGCCCACAGACAGCACCGGGGATGGTTTGTGCTGGAAGCGACCTTAAAGATCATCTCGTTCCCACAGCACGGGCAGAGACAGCTGCCACAATCCCGAGCTGCTCAGAGCCCCATCCAAGCTGGCCTTGCACACTGCCAGGGATGGGGCAGCCACAACTCGGTGCCAGGGCCTCACCACGCTCACAGGGAAGAATTTCTTCTTCACAGCCACAAGAGACCTACAGTACGAAATTATCCCGACGGGGAAAACACCACAAGCGTTCAGAGCCCCTAGCAATAACAACAGGAACAATAACCAGAACAGATAGCCGCGGGGCTGGGAGGGCAAAGCGCCCCGGCACAAGGCACCAACACAGCCCAGGGCGCGGCAGCCGCGGGACGGCCCCGGAGCCTCCGCAGCACCACGGGGCTCCCGGCACCGCGCGGCCCCGGACAGCGGGGACACCCTGGGACACCGCCCCGCCCGGAGCGCTGCAGGCGGGGCCGGGGCTGCGCAGGAAGGGACCCCGCTCCCGGCCGCCCCCCTACACTCACCACGCTGAGCTGTGCCCCCATCGCTGCCCCGACACACCGCGGGCACCGCCCCGCTCCGCGATAAACCGCGCCGGGCCCGCCCCGCCCCGTGACGACACACACAGTGCGGGCCCCGCCCCCCTCGTGACATCACGAACCGCGATCAACTGCGCCTGTCCCGCCCCGCGACGTCACGTCCTGCCCCGCCCGTGACGTCACGCCCGGCCCCGCCCCGCCATGGCTGTGCTGGAGCCGTGTGAAGGCAGCGCGCCCCAGCGGCCTTCTGCGCTTTGTTACCTGCCTGAGTAATCACAGACTGCCGCGGGTGGGAGCGATTGTCCGGATCATCCAGTTCCACCCCCTGCCATGGGCAGGGACACCTGCCACTGTCCCAGCTGCTCTGGGCATCCTGTGAAAAATGCATGTATTTTATGATTGGCTTTTCGCAAATATTAAAATGAATATTATATGTGTTATGTTAGAAAGTAATGCTGTATTAATTCTCTTAAGTACTGTATTAAATATAGTTTTAGGTTATAAAAAATGTTAAAATAGAAACGATGCTATATAAGAGACTTTTTTTAAAGAAAGGACTCGCAGCGAGATAGCAGCCACAGGACACCTAAATCTTTCAGAGAAAAATAATTTATTGTTCTCTTATAAGAAGAAACGAACTTCTTCCTGCCTTGAAGGCGCTGTCAGGATTCAGAGGAAGAAGCTGACGATGACCAGAGAGAATCCTGTGTTTGAATGGAATTTATGCATCATGTATGAGGTGTATGAATATGCAACAGGCTGTTGTTTTTAAGGGTTCATCCTTTGTTAACGTGTGTGTGTGTGTGTGTGTGTGTGTGTGTGTGTGTGTGTCCTTTTTCAGGCTCCTGATGCCCAGAAAGAGGTACCCGGATGTCCGTAACTCTTTGTTTTTATTGTCTCATATTGTCCTAATTCAATTTGTCCTAATTGTTATTACTCTAATTATGTTACTGTTTTTTTAACCATATTAAACATTTAAAAATTTTAAAAACAAGTGATTGGCGTTTTTCACACCATCCTCACAGGAAAGAATTTCTGCCCAATATCCAATCTAAACCTGCTCTCTGTCAGTGTGAAGCCATTCCCCCCTGTTCTGTCACTTCAGGCCCTTGTCAAGAGTCTCTCTCCATCTTTCCTGTGGGCTCCCTTCAGGCACTGCAAGGCCACAATGAGGACACCCCAAAACTTCTCCAGGCTGAATAATCCCAGTTCTCTTAGCTTTAAGGATTAATTAATGACAATGTTTATCCAAAAAGCACCAGAACTGAGCTGTGCAGTAAGATACAGTTTCAGCCAGGCTCCCTTAAATATTGGTTTATACCAATGTGTGAAAATTAGTACTAGTAACCACGTGTCCTTGTGTCTGTGCTAAACATGAAACACTTTAAATCTTTTTAATTAATATGTCTTCACATATTATGTCCTCACAACATGCCTTCAATGATTCCTAGACAGTTTCTCCTTACAAAATCAAGAAAAGTGTATGCTTGGCAGTCCTAAAAACAAAATAATAATAATAAAAAAAAATGTCCTCCCTTATCCCCTAGGCTCACACAGAGGTGCTGAGCCCCTGTGTGCCCAGCAGATATTTCATCCTTGTGGTTTGCTGAGTGTGCAGCTGGCTCATCTGGCTGTGAGAACATAAGTCCATCATGATTAACTTATTAAACTTGGGAATTAGCTCTGGGAAGTGAAAGAATATTAACAGACCAACCTAATGCTAAGAAGGTTGTGCCTCAGTCCATGTATGCACATTTAGCTGCAAGGATGGAGTTATTTATTCCTGTTTTTTCTATGACAAGAGCATGCCTGGCTCTGTAATCCTCATTGTTTTCTCTTTCAGGACAACAGCTCCTCCACCAGAAACTCCCCAGTAAGTGCAGGGATTGTAACACCACTGGCTACAGAGAAGGACTCCAGGACCCACAGGCTGAGGCTTAGGAAAAGGGAGATAACTGAGACAGGCACAGGGATCCTGGAGTTTGTTGGGAAAAAATCTGGCAGGAGAGGCTCCAACTTGAATATTAATATTTAAGGAAGGGTGGAAACCTCAGTGTGCCCATACCTGGCTTTCACTGTGCTCTGACCTGGCTGGCTTCCAAGTGACCAGCCCAGGCTCTGTCTCCACTGCTTTTCAGTGTGGGTCAGCTTGTGGATCTTGGCAGCAATAGCCAAAGCTCCCACGGGAATGTCCAGCATCCTCAGTGTCATAAACTTTCCTCTTTCCATGCAAAATGTGACCCAAAGCCCTGCTCTGCCTTTTCCTGGCCAAGGGCTGAGTGTGCTGTAGCTCTGCAGGGTGCTTGTTCCAGCTGGCAGCTTTTACTCAGTCTCCCTGGTGTGAGCCCTGCCTGCTTTGGTCTGGAAGCCTGTAAAACTCAGTGTTCTCACTCACACCTCTCTAGATTAACCAAAGAGGTTTAAATAACTCTTTCTCCCCTCAGGGAAGTGTGAGAACCAGACTAGAGGTGACAAACCAACACTTATTCGTTGGCCACTGTGACCAGAAGAGTAAAATATTTAGGCCAGAAAGTCCTAGAGATGCCTACATGCTTTAGAAACATTTTATTCCCAGGATTTCCTTGATCTTTTACATTGGCAAAGCTCAGCAGCTGATGCTTGAGGTGGTGGATTTGTCAGGCAGAACTTCTAGAAGTTCTCTGCCCTCCTTTGGAAATGCTGGCTGCGTGTGAGTGAGACAGCACCAAACACTCCCCCCCTTCCCTTGGGACAGAAAAAGAGAAACAGAGCACAGAGGCAGCCTGGCCTCAACTCTTGCACAAAACCCACATCCACTGCCCTCTGCAATGGGTTTGACAAAGCACGGGCTGGGCTGTGCTGCAGAGGAAGCCAATATCTATAATAACACCCATGTGGATACCAAGGCTGCTCTCTGCACACTCTTTTTCTGCATTAGACCCAGGAATGACCCAGATTCTGCGCTGATCTAAGTTGCCTTTGATCAGTGTTTAGTTTCTGTTGGCAAACACACTCTTTCACTCTCCTCAGGATCTCTGCATTTTTCTTATATCAGTGTGTAAATCAAAAGACAGAAATTTTAAAAGACATACAAGTACACAGTTTGTTGTGAAATTGCTGGTGATGCTACTGAGCTGTAATTTTATTAAAGATTAACTTAAAACCATGGAGTCCAGTGATGATGCTGCTTGTAAGTAAAAATTCCCTGGGCTCCCATCTGGGCTCTTTCTCCTAATGTGAGTAAAGAAGATGCATTTTTTTAATAGACAGAATATGCCCACTGGCTTTTGTATTTTAAATGAAAACACAGAAGATTTCCTGCATTCAGTTGATAAACTGGTGTAGTTGACAAATCCAGGACACTGGATTTTTGTCATTTACCTTGTTTACCCTGAACTGCAATAAATACTAACCAAAGACGGTTTAAAAAAATCTGTTAAAATTAAGGATATTCAGTTTTGAGATACTTTAATTTCCCCTACCAGTGTCAGAAGGAAGCTTCACTTTTAAGTGTTTTAAGTGGGCTGCATGTCTTGTTCCCTATGAAATTTTGTGTGTCTTCATCACCAGGGGCTTTATTTGGCCCTAAATTGATTCTTTGAAGGGGTTCATGGACCAGAGGTGCAGAACCACTTGTATGACTGGTAGCTAGCATCAAGCCATTCTGGCTTCTCTATATACATATATCTAGTTTAGACCTAAAGCTATGCTTTTCAGAAATTTATTATGATGAAGAAGAAGATGTCACAAGTACCAACGAAACAACAATAAGCTTTAAACCATCTGAAGGTTGATTTAGGCACATAATAAATGCAAGCTTCCCAGGACAGGCATCAGCACCTGCCACTACTTGCTTCCAGTGGCACATGCAAAGTTCTGTTTCTAAAACATTTCCTGCTTATATCACCTCCCAATATTAATAAGATCACACATAGCAGTTTCAGCTGTAAATAGAGATGCATTTGTTGGGGTTTTGATCTGGTCCTTCACCACCTTTGATTTTTTTTTTATCTCAGATTAATTATCATCTTCCCTTCTACTGTCAAATAATAACTGGATACAGAATAACAGGACTAGAATGTCCCATCCATTTCAAGGCTTTCAGACTTGCACTGCTTCTTTCTGGGCTAAAACTTCCTCCAGAGACATAAATCCATTTGGCAAATAATCCATGATGCAAGAGAAGGTGAGGCAGGAGCCTGCTACAGGTGCCTCTGAGTTCCTGGTGTGAGTGTTCCTGCCCCGAGAGCAGTGTGAGTTCTGGTGCCATCCTCAGACTCTTGTGGGAACTGGCACCTCCTGCCTCTCCTGTGCCTTCCTGCCAGGCTGAGTGACAGTCCTCAGAGGGCAAGAGGAGTGGGAGGGGAGCACAGCTCGTGCCTTGGACTGCGGGAGGATTGCTGAGCTTCTGGCTGCCTTCTCCCTGCTCAGAGTATTTCCCAAGAGAAAAACTTCTTCCCAGCATGGCAAGTGGGTAAGAGACAATCATACTGATTCTCCTCTAACAGGCAGGGTAGGGGGGATGGGATATATTTTTCTGTGCAAGGGTGAATATTACATGACATGCAGCACAGCAAGAACCCTCTTCCTCTTTCTGTTCTGTTTTACTGACTCACAGTGTACAATCGGTGAGGCTACTGAACCACTAGCTTAAAATAAAGGTGATGGTAAAATCAGATTGTGCTTAAATATAGCTGAACACTCAGAATCAGTTCTTCAGACATCAGCCGCCTGCCCAGGACCTTGGCAGATTGTACCACTCTCATGTTTGCCCCTTGACATTGCCTTTTCCTTTCCACATACAAAACCTGCCTTATGTATTTTTTGGTATTTTAAATACCGGCTTTACATTAAAAAAAAAGCAAAAAAACCACTGGACTCAAATAGAAGACATAGACATTGGCATAAGATGAAAATCTAGAGATTTGTTTCTATCTTTTGTTTGTCATAAATTGTTTCTGTCTTCTGTTGCATGTATTTCAAACATTTGAACTAAGTTTTTTAAATTGTTGGAAACTTCTTGTAAATCAGGTGTTCCAAATCCCCTTCTTCTCTATATAAAGGTTAAGGGCTGTATAAAATTGCATATTGTTGAAAGGATCTCTGAAAGTAAATTTACTTTGGAGAAGGTGCACAATCAGACCTTATTTGCAGGGCTTCATGTGACCCATTTGCAATACCTGTTCTTCTTGCTCTAACACTGTTGACTTTCTCACATTATTTGCCACTGACCTTTAATTCTTTTCATGTCTTGAATAATTTCTGATTTATAGCAATAACATCTTGTTCTTGGAGCATTGTTTTGGGTAGAATGAAGAAGAAAATGGAGATGTTAGATTCTTCGGCTCTAAACACACTGCTGGTGCATCAATTGCTATTGCAAAGAGCCTCTCCCAGGTTTTCTCAGCTCTTAAAAGTGCAGACTGAGTGTTGTTACTGGGGTGGTGCTTTGCTCATGTGAGCACATCCAAGCAAGGCTCCAACTGGACAAAATCCAATTGGCCAGACTTCTTGCACAGAAATAATTAACTCTATGTGCAAGCATAAATCTAACAACTCAGAGCTTTCACACAGGGAAAAGACAGAACTGATGATAAAAATCTCTGTTTTGAGTCACCCATGCCATTGTGTTGAAAACCAGGCAGAAAATATGCAATATCATTTTTCAGAACAACCTTACCTACATGCTGGTGTGTCACGGATTTGCATGAAGGTGTTGGGCACCTTCTCATTTAAGTTGTCTCACCTTGCATGTGTAAGCTAAGTTTATGGCCCTTTTAAAAGAGATACCATCCAGAAAGAGTTTTACAAGGTGACTCTATAAGTTGCTAGACAAGTTTTTTGCTTTGGCAAGGGTATATTTTTTCAGTCTTCAGTTACAGCATAAACAGGTGCTCTCTCTGTTTGGAAACTAAAGGGACAACAAAAAGGAGAGGAAAAGTCCATGATGATATTGTGGTAGTATCTAGCAGAGATAAAGGACAGTAGAGGCTTTTACATTGTAAAATTTAGTGATTTCAATTTTGGGACAGGTTTCCTGAATGGAGAAATACTAGTAGGAGAAGTATATTTATAGAACGAAAATAAGGATTGAAATCTGTAGGTACACTCTTATTGTAACTCTCTCCTGAATAGACACCGTGAGCTCATGTGATATTTCATAATATTTCTAAAGGAGGAAGATCAAACTGCTTTATAAACACAGGACAAACCTGCTAAGAGCAGACTGAGAGCAAGTGGGCATTAAAGAGATGATAGATCTCTTCTAGATAGGTAACTGTTACCAAAATATACACATAGTAAAAGATATGTATATAAAATATGTATCTGAGAAACAAAATATTATAATAAAACCCGAGTGACACCCTCTCTAATGTTCCACGTACCCTGGATGTTCAGCAGGCAGCAGACTCCTCTTCACCAGCAGTAATTCCTTCCAAAGTAAAAGCTCTATTAAACATAATATGATGGTTCTCAAACAGGATAAGTTGGTACAGAGGAGCAGACAGCAGGAGGGTCCAGAATGCAGCACAAAAGTGATCCAATAAAATTAGGGCAGTCCAAGGTAAAGGCTTGAAGTTTGAAAAACATCTCCAGTACTATTCTGTGAGCTCACCAGTCCTGTCCCTGGGCCTTCAGCTGAGCTGCTGAAGTGAGCAGTTTTCTGTTTGGTGTTGGTTTGTAGGCTCTTTCAAGAAGGGCTTGCTCTTCATAAGACTCCAGAAAGAATATGGAAGCATGGCAGGAAATAAATAAAACTGCTGCTGTTGGTGGCTGCTGAGGCAGCTCCCTGGGACACTGAGCAAGGGCCTCATTTGGGCTGCCCAGCCAGTGCTGACAATGCCCCACTGACTGCACAAGCAGAGCCTGGGTTTTGGGCAAAGGCTGAATGAAGCTCCTCTGTGACAGCCTCCTTCTTCTCCACTGTAAGATCCATGCAAGTACCTGTTCCCAGCACAACTCTTCCTTCACACTAGATTTTTAAATCTTTTTCCTTTCTTCAGGTATTGACACGTGTTCAAGGCCAGTTAAAAATTCAAGTGATCTTTTAGATTTCCCATCCACAGCTATCCCAAAGTACCAGAGAACCCAAGGGAAAATGGACTGTGCCTCCAGCACCGCTCAGGAGCACAGTGGCTCAGATCCACAGCTGCAGGCAGGCTGAGGTGTGGCAGCTGCTGTAATTATGGTTACCTGCACTGCCCTTATGCCTTTGCCACAATCTTTGTTTGCTCTTCCTGCTGGAGAGAGTGGAATTTGCCACTGGCAGTAGGATGCAGCAAGTTATCTCTATCCTTAGCAGAACAAAAGGAGAAGGCTTAACACTAATCAGAGGTTCAGAGCTGGGCTTGAAAGTGCCTTGGTTCAGTCTGAGAAAGCCAGTTGTTAAAATCATGGCAGGTTGCTCCAAGAGCTTTTTGAAAGAAATACCAATTGTTGACAGATTTCTGTACTTTTCTTCTTTTCTGGAAAACATCTCTTTTGGAGGAGAATTCAAAATGATCAAGCGGTTCTTCTCTGGGTTTGATGCATGTGTTGGTTTGTAACTGATTGATTCCCCTGTCAGTTAATTAAAGATTAAGCCACCTCTCTTTTTCTCCACTCTGTTGTCCTGATCCCCTCTTAGTGTGAACATAATGTACTTGAAACTGGAGCTACCTCTGGGCACTTCATCACAGTAAAAACCTGTCATGGTTTGACATTGGCCAAATACCAGGCACCCACAAGAATCATTCCCTCACCCTCTCCTATCACAGCTAGGCAGAGGAGAGAAAAAAATGAACAAAGGGTTCATGAGTTGAGATAGGGACTGTGAGAAAACACTCCCAAGGCCAAAACAGGCTCAGCTTAGAAGTACAAAGTGAATTTATTACTAACTAAGTCAGAAGAAGAGAATGAGAAGCAAAATAAGCCATTAAACCACATTTTTACCCCAAGCCCCTCCCTCCTTCCCACCAACAGTGCAGGGAGACAGGCCATGGGGGTTTTTTGTTAGCTTATCACCCAAGATCTTCTGCTGCTGCTCAGGAAGAGGAGCCCTTCCCCTGTGAGACTGTGGGGTTCCTTCCCACAGGAGACAGTTCTCAGTGAACTTCTTCAGTGTGGGTCCAAATCTCACAAGCAGCAGTCCTCCCAAAACTGCTGCACCGTGAGTCCCTCCCACGGCAGACAGTCCTCCCAAAACTGCTGCAATGTGGGTCTCTCTCTCCACGGGGTGCAGTCCTCCAAGGACAGCTTAGGATCAAGGGCCCCCTCTCTCCAGTGGGTCTTCCACTAGAGCATGGCCTCCTCCAGGTATCCACCTGCTCCAGCATGGGCACCTTCCCCACAGGCTGTGGGCGGATCACTGCATTCCCCATGGATCCCCATGGGCACAGCTGCTTCACCATGGTCTCACCACGGCCTGCAGAGGAACCTCAGCTCTGGTGCCTGGAGCACGTCCTCCCCTGCTTCTGCACTGACCTTGGGTCACCATCTTGTTTCCCTCACATATTCTCACTTCCTCCTCTGGCTAGGAATAGATGTGTGCCAAATTTGTGCTGATTTTCTTTTTGAATCTGTTATGACAGAGGCCTTACCATCACCTCTAACTGGCCCAGCCTTGGCCAGCAGCATGTCCACCTTCAGAGCCACCAGGCATTGACTCTGCTGGGCACAGTGGAAGCTCCCAGCAGCTTCTCACAGCAGCCACCTCTGTGCCTTCCCCAGCTGCCAAAAACCAGGCCATGCCAAACCAACACACAACCCTACCTAAATTTTGTTGATAGATGAATGGACAGACTTCTGAAAACTGTACACTATTATGCTGGACAAGACTCCATTAAAAATTAGGGAAGGAGAAGCTGGGGTAGGTATATGCATCAGAGATCAGTGCATGAGGGATTTTTATTGTATGCAGACGTTTAGAGCCTTACTTACCCTTTGTCACCACTACCTTTATGCTGGGATAATCTCATGGCAAAAGAAAACATTTTGTGTGGAATCTTGCTTGAAGGAAGAAGGGAAGAGTTTATAAGACTTCTGTGAGAAAAGCATCATAGGGAGAATTTTTTCCTTCCTGTTCTGTTGGCAGTGTTGCTGCATGCTGGGAACAATCTCCTGGTTGCCTCTGGTTTGTGCACAGAATCCTCAGGAATGAAACACCACCATCTTCCTTTTTGTTTCATTGCATGGGAAACCACAGGAACTTATCAACAAGAACTTTGATGTCTGACAGTCTAAGGGAAGACTCAGGTTTCCTTACAGGTTACCTGCATTCTTTAAAAAGGAACATGGACCATAAGGATTGTGGGTTTCACAGTGGCACTGACAGGAACATGTGGGGAGAAAGAGAAACTTGATGCCAGGATGATATCCAGAACATGGAGAGGCATTAGAAGACACTACAAGTGTCTTGCAGAAATAACAGCACATGCCTTTTTTTTCTGCCTTACATGCATTCCTTTGTATTTCTTGGCAGGAAGACCTTAAATAATGAACTTTCTAAGCTTTTCAGTGAGATGTGGGATGCAGATGTTCACCGCCTTAGGCCTGGGAGAGACTACACAATTGACATGCAGGTAACCAATTGCCAAGTCAGGATTAAGGGCAGTGTGGTGCTGCAGGAAAAGGTGCCTGCAAAAGTGTTGTCATATTTCTAGGGTACCATACTGTTGTTATCAGATTTCTAGCATCCCATACCTTCTGGGAGGTTTTCTCACAACCAGCTCTTCACAGCACCATTGTTCCTCCTTCATCAGGGCTCCTCCAAAGCTCCCCCCAACTGGCCAACCTACCCCCTTTTATCCTAGTTATCTTTACTAGCCACAGCTGCAGCCCACTGAAGGACATCGCAGCTGCAGCCCATCAAGAGCAACCGGGACTTATTGGGGCAAGGCCATCTATACCATACATATGTTTCACTGTGACTCAAAGGCCACCTATACAAAAGTGCCTTTTACTTAAAAAGTTGCCTGTGCTTTGTCATGTCCAGTGGGGAAAGCATCCCTTAGGAGAGGGAACAATACAGAGAATACAAATGGCTCACACTTACCTGGACCTTGGTTACAAGTGGAGTCTTTCAGGTGTCTGTCTTGGGTCCTGCAATATTTCATCTCTCTATCTGTGAGCTGGAGGAGGAACAACTAGCGTGCAGCCCTTCCAGTTTTGCAGATGACAGCAAACTGTGGTGATGAAATTGGTATGCTTAGATGCAGGGCTTCTCTTCCACTGGACATAGGCAGGCTGGAGGAATATGCTAGTGAAAGGAACATCATGAAATTCAACAAAAACAAAGGAACAGGATGCTCAGAGAAGCTGTGAAATCTCCATCTTTGGAGGCTTTCAAGACCCAAAAAGATGACTCCCTGAGAAATAGTCTGAATTCAGTGTTAACCACAATTTGAGCAGCACTAGAGATGTTCTGCTCCACCCTGTGTGTTTCAGTGTGTAAATGACAGCTTGTGTGTGGGGTGTGGGTGACTTGCACTGAGGGAGAAAGGGAGATAGGTCCCAAGCCATTCTTAGGGGAATAAGGGAGGAATCTGAGAAATTCCTGGGTTTCTCTGGGAGAGCAGGGAGTAGCAGAGAGGAGTGGGTGAAGATTTCAGGACTGTTGCTTCTAGTCCCAGGGAAATGTGAGAGAGGAGTGAGAGATTTCATAAGCAGCCATTTCACTCCTTGCTAGCTCAGTGCAGTGCAAACATGACCATGTGTTTTGGCCACAAATTGCAATAGGCCAGAATATTCACAATCCAATTTTGTACTCACACAAGAACTCACTTTATTCTGATGTTACTCAAATGCTTTATTCCAATGTTACTCAAACACTTTATTCCAATGTTGCTTCATATTGTAACAGATAATTTCCTGTTGCTGATAAACTTGAAATAGTGGTACCTACCTCAAGCCAAATTGTGTGTGGGGAAAACTTCTGCCATATGGTTTCTCCATTTGTCAGAACAAGGCTCTAGTACCTCTTGCCTGTGTTAACAAGCTACTACTCATCTACTATCTTCTTTCCTTCAGAAAGCCCTTTATGATATAGAAATTTGAAAATCATCAGGAAAGCCTCCTTAAAATTGCAGAGACAGAAGGCAGCCAAATCTCCTTGTTATTTATTTGTGGTGGGAGGGACCACATTACTTGCTCTACATTACTTCTGTTTACCATTTGTGATTTATATAGTATAATAGCACAGCTGGTTACTGAGCAGAACTGAACTATCACATGGGCCATTAAAATAATCTCTGAGGAAACTGAAATTTCAGGCTCTTACAGATGTCAGAGGTTATCTTTTTTCTTTATGCTGGCAGTTCTGTAATATTTCACAGGAAGACAATTCCTAGCAAAGAATGCTGATGGCATTATGGGGTTTGGTTTGATTATCACAAAGGCATGCACTGTTTCCTCTAAGGACATCTTATTCCTTATTTTCCTCCATTTTTGCTAGGGAAAAGCAGGTCCAGCACAGCAAGGGGACAGGGCTGTGCAGGACAACGCAGCCAGACATCTGTTTCACCATGTAAATGAAGAACGCCTGAGGAGCATAAAAACTTTTGCAAGTGAGACGTGTTCTTTTGTTAATAGTGGATGTGATATAAAAAATCTGTGCTGTATTTGACATGTTTGCCTAAAATATAACATTGTATATAATCTGGACGGTGGTGAGGATCATCAGACTGCAGGTCATTTGAAGGGAGTTTTTGTAACAGTTGCTTGGAGATTACCTGTACCTGAGCCTCGGGAGGAGGATCCTTTTGTGCCCCAGGCAAAATCTGAATTCTCTGTCTCTTTCCACTACAAAGTAAAAGTGATGAGACACTTACAAGCTCCAGAAGTGGCCCAAGGGAATCTCACAGGGTTCAACAAGACCAAGTGTTGGTGCTGCACCTGGGTCAGAACAGCCCCTGGGATCAATCCAGGCAGGGGATGAGCAGAGGGAGCAGCCCAGGCTGAAGGACTTGGGGCTGCTGTGGGTGAGAGCTGGCCCTGCCCCAACCCAGAGCCCCCCTGTGCTGGGCTGCACCCAGAGCCCCAGGGCAGCAGGGCAGGGGGGATTCTGCCCCTCTGCCCCTCTCTGCTGAGCCCCCCTGCAGGGCTGCATCCAGCCCTGGGCCCAGCACAGCAAGGACAGGGAGCTGCTGGAGCCAGGCCAGAGCAGGGACACCAAGGGGATCAGAGGGATGGAGCAGCTCTGCTGGGAGGAAAGGCTGAGGGAATTGGGATTGTTCAGCCTGGAGAGGAGAAGTCTTTGGGGTGACCTCATTGTGGCCTTGCAGTACCTGAAGGGAGCCCACAGGAAAGATGGACAGAAACTCTTGACAAGGGCTTGGAGTGACAGGACAAGGGGCAATGGGTTCATACTGACAGAGAGGAAGTTTAGATTAGAATTTAGAAAGAAATTCTTTCCTATGAGAGCAGTTGGGACATAATGGTGAACAGTTTGTCCAGAGCAGCTGTGGCTGCCCCAGCCCTCGCAGTGTCCAAGGCCAGGCTGGACAGGGCTCTGAGCAACCTGGGATAGTGGAAGGTGTTCCTGACCATGGCAGGGAGTTTGAACTGGATGATCTTTAAGGTCTCTTCCAACCCAAACCATTCTATGATTCTATGCACTAAAAAAGACACCAAATTCATCTTTGCTCCCTTACTCACAACTTCCAAGCCCTTTCAGGTAGTACCAGACCCACAGCTAGGTCTTGCATTTCTGTTGGGGGCTACACTTCAGCCATGTCTATGGATGTATGTTTCCTTCCCTAATTTTTATCAAGCTCAAGACATCTGATATTGGTTTATGCTCCATTATTCCTCTACTGAAATAATGCACACAAAATCTTGTGCCAGCATAGCTCAAGGTCCTAAGCTCGTGTCTATAATTGTGGTGGGCAGACGTTATTTGTTTTGGTAGGTCATTATTATTTCAGCCCTTGGCTCCATAAGGAAGCTCAGTAGCTGTTTATCTTTAAAAAGATCTATAAAAAGTACAGCAGTGATCCGGCCTTGAGACACCTTGATGCCTACACTTAACAGTATACCTGGGAGTAGAATCTGACATATAAAGGAATGGTCTTCTCTAAGGGCTGAAAAGACATATTCTGTGCTGGCTTTTTATGATGGCACTCTATTGTCTGGATCAGGCATATGAGCAGACTGAAAGTTACTCTTTTTCTGCAGCCTTTATTTCCTTATTGGACAACTATGAGACATCAACCGGTGTAGCAGAAGTAGTGACTCCAGAAGAAATAGTTGAAAACAACTGTTTCCTTGATGCTATCTTAGCAACACAAGTCATGAGAGTGAGTAACACAGATCTTTTTTGTCACGGAAAACACTGATTAAAAAGTAAACTGTATATGTATCTTGCTTTTCTACCCTTCAGCTAGCTCATGACTATCTGCTGAAAAAAAACCTAGCAAGGCCAAACCTTGCAGATTTCAAACATCAGCTTTATGACATCTGGTTCCAGCTCTATGCCAGGAAAGAAGGAGACAGGTATGTTGGATGGGTGTGGGCACTGATAATCTCTCTGCTATTCTGATTTAGGTAAAAGTAAGCCTGAGTGCCATCAGCTACACATAGAACTGGAAGCCAGCTTCAGAATAGCTTCAGCATGACAGAGAGTGGGTTTAGATTGGATGTGAGGAAGAAATTCTTCCCTGTGAGGATGGTGAGGCCCTGGCACATGTTGCCCAGAGAAGCTGTGGCTGCCTCTGGGTCACTGGACATGTCCAAGGCCAGGCTGGATGGGGCTCTGAGCAACCTGGGATAGCGGCAGGTGTCCCTGCCATGGCAGGAGGTTGGAATGAGATGGCCTTTAACATCCCTTCCAAATCAAACCATTCTATGGCTCTATGAAGCATATAAAATACCCATATACTAAAAAGTATATTATTTTTTTCTTCTTCATTACAGACCTGATTCTTGTGGTTTTGAACATGTTTTTGTTGGAGAAACAAGGCATGGTAAAGAGATCTTAGGTTTGCACAACTGGGTGCAATTTTACCTTCAGGAAAAGCGCAACCAGATTGATTACAAGGGATACGTAGCTCGGAAGAACAAAACCAGGGTAAGAACAAGCCTTTGGGGGCCGTTGCAAGTAAAACAAATGGATCCAGAGATAAAAGTTGTAATGAAACAAGTGTAATAATGCAATCATAGGCTCAGTGTTTTGAACAGCAGTAAGTATATACAGTACATAACTGTGTATAAGAAGAATGAACAATGACATGTCTTCCGGCTTCTTTTTTTATGAAAACTATTTTAAAATGTAGTGCTAGTGTTTACAGAATTGCAACACTGCTGAGGCTTAGTTGGGATAAATGATCATGTATGCTCCAGAGGTCAGAGAAAAGATTGTGCCCAGCTAGAGCACCCAGGCACACCAAGGATGACTAAATCTTACAAAGCTCTCAAAAATCTAGAATCAGAAATTCTATCTGTCCAGTCACAGCTGTGTTGGAGATAATTCTGTTGTTTCATTTATGCTTTCAGCCTGATAAAGATGACCAAGTTTTGAGCATCCAGTTCAGCTGGAAGGGCTCAGTCAAGCCAGTCGGAAGCACCTTTATCGGTGTCAGCCCGGAGTTTGAATTCGCCCTTTACACAGTCATTTTCCTGCTGTCTGAAGAAAGAGTCACACGTGAAACAGTGAAGATAGATGAGTACGAGCTACAGATGGTTGTCTGGCGCCATGGGCACCACATTGGAACAGCATATCCAGTACTGCTCAGCACCACTAGTGAAGATTAGTGGAGAGAGCAGGAAACTTTTTTTTTCAAATTGAGGGAAAGGAGGAGTGGTTGAGAGAGGAGGAATGGATGGGGGCTGGACAGGACCAGAGAGCAAAGTTAATATGTTGTTTTATACAACTCATTTCAAGTAAAAATTGATGACTCCGTCTCTTTTGGTCTGCAATGGAATGTTTAATCAGTAGTGTGTTGTGACACTGTCTGAGAAACCATGAAACATACTCCTGCTCACATTAAATTTACATCTAAATTACATCAGTCTTCCCTTCTGCATGATAGTACTGTACTTTTCAGCAAATAATGGCATTTAGGAAAAGGTTCTATTAAAATTGATATACATATTTCTCTTAGTTTTTAGTCCCTGCATATCTAAAAATGCAATAACCACACATTGCTTACACTTTACCTTCCAGACAGAAGCTTTGATTTGGGCACAGGCAGAACTCCAGGATGTTTTAATCTCCTCTTCTCATTCCATAAGAGGTTAATTTCAAATACATTATTACAATACAATGACCTGGACACACAGGGAACACATTTAGGTGAGGAGATGGTCATGAGATCCATAGCAGGCCTTAAAATGGATCTGATGACCATCTGTTTCTTTAACACAATTTTTGTATACCCCCTATATGTTCCTGAATCACGTGGATGACAACTTCATGCTACAGGTCCTAAGAGGGCTGACTCAGAAAGATGCCCTCCCTCCTTGCTTTGTTGCTTGTCAACAGAGAGGATCTTGTGATCCTCTTGAGTGGAGATTGGCAGCTGTCTTAGCCACAGTGGCCATGAAGCCATCGAGTTTAAAATATCTGGCAACAGGAGGAAAAGTGCCAACAAAACTTCAACCCTGGACATGGGAAGAAGTGACTTCAGGCTGCTCAGGGAACCAGTAAGCAAAGTCCCCTGGTGTAGTGGTTTTGGTTCATCAATTTGATATTTTTGAAATCTTGAATTTGAGATTGTGAGAAAAAAAATTGAGGGTTTTTTTTTTTTCCTCAAAATTTGAGATTTTGAGATTTGAGAAGTGATTTGAGAACCAACACACCTGGGAAAATGCTTTTGAAGGTCCTGGGGTCCATCAGTGCTGTGGTCACTTCTTTACCACCAGCTCCTGAGGACACAGGAACAGGCAATTCCTAAAAATTGGAAATCAAGCAGATGAGGCAGAAGGCCACCTTGGCTGAACAGGAATCTTCTTTTGGAGATAAGGTAAAAAAGGAAGGGGTATGCCCAGTGGAAGCAAGGTCAGGTGATGTGGAAGGAGTACGGAGATGCTGCTTACCACTGTAGGGGGAGAACTTGTGTGGCCAAAGCTCCACTGCAGTTGAAGCCACCAGAAATGTGGGGGACAATAAAAAGAGGGTTTAAAATACATTAATGGCAAAAGGCTGTACTGAAAGGACATCAGCCCGTTACAGGATGAGGATGGTCACCTCACAAACAGGGCCATGGACAAGGTAGAGATGTTTAAGGCTTTCTTTGACTCTGTCTTCAACACTAATGATGGACTAAGGAGGTCCCAGCACCAGGAGCTGGAGGACTGTGACTATGAGAATGGTAAACTCTGAGTTAACCCTGAAGGTGTGAGGGATCTGCTGCTCCAGCTGGATCCCTGTAGGTCTATGGGGTATGACAGGATTAATGTGAGAATACATAAAGACCTGTCTGATATCATCACGAGGCATCTCTTGATAATTTTTGAACAGTCTTGAGAACTGGAGAGGTCCCAGTTTTCAAAGAGGGCAAGAAGGATGACCCTGGAAGCTACAGGCCTGTCAGTCTCACTCCAGTTCCTGGTAAAATTTTGGAGATGATGATCATTATTCTGGGAGGTATTGAAAAACACCTGAAGGACAACACAGTCATTGGTCACAGCTAGCACATGACGAAAGTCCTGCTTTTCAAAATTAATTTCCTTTTATGCTAAGGTAACCCACCCAGTTGATCCAAAACATCAGTAGATGTAATTTTTTTGGATTTCAGTAAAGCTTTGGATATAATCTATCTCAGTGTGCAGCCCACAGCTGGATAAACACATCATGTGATGGCGGAGCAACTTGCTCATGGGTCGAGCACAAAGAATGACATTACCTGGGTGACAGCTGACTGGCAGCCTATCACTGGTGGGGTTCCACAGGGCACGGTCTTAGGTCCCGTTCTCTTAAAAATCCTCATAAAAAGCGGGAATGCAGGACAGAAAGGGATACTAAGTAAGCTTGCAGATAATACAAAACTGGGAGAAGCTGCTGACTCCCTCAAGGGTGAAGAGGCTCTGCAGAGAGCCCTGGTCACCAGTTGTGTGAAGTAAACAAAGGCAAGGGCTGGGTTCTGCATCTGGGCTGGGACAAACCTGAATGTACAGACAGACTGGGAATGAGAGGCTGGAGAGCAGTGTTGTGGAAAGGGACCTAGGGGTTTGTAAAGCTCATGTCTCGGGGCCTTTTGGGTCCCATCTCACTAGGTTTGGACCCTGGCACCTCGCAGCCTTGCAAGGACAAAAGTGAAAGACTTGAGGTGCTCTTCTCCTCGGGACCAAAAATCCCACAGCTTTATTGTGGAATTACTCCAGAGGGTTCAAGGGGGGGGCAAGAGGACCAGAGGAAAAAGAGACCAATTGTCTGATAACAGGAATTTTAAACCCAGGGGAAGGGGGTGGAGAAGAGGGAACACAGCCAATGGGATACAAGTGATGGGAGGGACCAGGGGAGGGGATAACCTGAGGAGAGACCTCCACCAGGGCTTGGTGGGGTAGGGGGGGAAGACTGTGTGATATAAGCAGGGAATCCCATGAGGATAACAACAGACTCTTCAGTGCAAAACACCGACCCAGTGCAAAACAACAACTAAATAAACTATTTAGTGCAATACAACAGGGGTTGATGGCCAGTTGGACATGAGCCAGCAGTGCCCTGGCAGCCAGGAGGGACAGCCCTGTCCTGGGGCACCGGGCCCAGCATTGCTGGCCAGACCAGGCCAGGCCAGGGAGGGGATTGTCCCGCTCTGCTCTGGGCTGGGGCAGCCTCACCTTGAATATTGTGTGTAGTTTTGGGTGCCACAATATAACAAAGCTCTGAAGCTACTTGAGAGTGTCTAAAGTAGGGTTTTGAAGATGATGAAGGGCCTAAAGAGGAAGCCATACAAGGAGCAGCTGAGGGCACTGGTCTGTTCAGCTGGAGAAGAGCAGACTGAGGTCAGAGCTCACAGCAGTTCTGCAGCTTCCTCATGAGGGGAAGAGGAGGGGCAGGCCCTGATCTCTGCTCTGTGTGACCAGGGACAGGACCCAGGAAACGGCTGGAGCTGTGTCAGGGAGGGTCAGGGTGGATATTAGGGAAAGGTTCTTCCCCACAGGGTGCTGGGGCATTGAACAGGCTCCCCAGGAATGGTCATGGCACCAAGGATGACCCTCTCATGCGCAAGGCCCGTTTGTTGGAGTGGCCAGGGGTTAGACCAAAGATGGCTGTGGGTTCATTCCAACACAGAATATTCTGTGAAAATTTCAAATGAACAGAGAGCAAGGGGTTTCTATAGCTGTTGAAACATCACAAGGGGCTGCTCAGGCTGGGATTCACAGGAGGAGCCATTGGAAAACACCAAGAATGGACCAGCTGAGAGATGCTGCTGAAAGAGTACAACCTCCCTGCAGCAACAGGTCTCATATAGGACAGCAAGAGAGACTGCAGTCAGGTTCTGCTGTAAATTTGAAACACAGGGGATCAGAGGCAGATATCAGGAATGTCAGGTACAGAACCACAGAGCAGTCACACAGCTGCTCAGGGGTGTAGAAAGCCACTCTGGGGAAGGTCAAAGGCACTCGGTTTCCCTCAGGCTGGGGAAATGTCCCTGCAGCCAAGGGCCCCCAGGTCACACTGCACGCCTTGACAACTCTTCAGAGTCCTGCTCCATCTTTGCGTAGGTGGCAGGGCAGAACTGGGAATAGAGCTGAGCCAGCAGAGCCTGGGAGGGGATCTCTAACTTGGTCCCGTGGCTCAGTTTGTTCCATATGTGCACTGCATAGGTGTTCTTAAGGAGTTTCTGAAGCTCCATGGCACTGACTGCCTCAAACAACTTCTTCCACTCCTGCCAGGGAATAGGATAAACAACTTCTTGGGCAAGAGCACTCACACCTTTGCAGCTCATGCTCTTGATAGTCTCGAGGGAGCACCACTTCTTGAAGACACGTGTGAGGAGCTCTGGGCCTTGGTGCCCCCAGACCCAGCCATTATAATTCTGCACAAAGTCCTGCATGCAAAGCTCCACGAATTTGTGCTTGGCCTCAAAGGACAGAAAGGCTCCATTCAGTACACTGTCACCCTGAATGCCGAGGGCATTGGTGAGGTTCTGTAAATTCTTAAGCACAATGAAGTCTGTATCCAGGTAGATGCCACCAAATTTCCACATGAGGACAATTCTGCAGGCGTCAGAGAGGACATGTAAAAAATGAGGTTCCTGTTGCCGCTGAGGTTGCCGGAACCACTGTTCCAGAGGTGTTCCAGAAAAGAGCTCTGTCAAGTCCAGGGGCAGGATTTCCACGTTGGGGAAGCAGCTGAGCAAGGAGAAAGCCCAGTGCTTGGGCAAGGAGCCGTTCCCTTTGGCCAAGCCTTTCATGAGCACCACGACTCTTGATGCAGGGTGTGTCCTGGCTGCTGACTCCACAGAGCACGAGAACAGGTAATTTGGGGCAGTTTGCTCCGAGGTCTCCACAAAAAACACATTTCCTGTGGAAGGAGAGGGCCTACCAGCCATGTTGAGGGCAGAAGGCACATAGTGAGCACAGCTCCTCTCAGCAGACAAGCTGGAGGTGGGGACGCTGCTCTTTGGGTCCTCCCCGATGCCCCAGTACAGCTTGTGGTAGGCAAGGGCTACGAGCACAAAGACGAGGGTAAAAAGGGCACAGGGCTTGTGGCTGATCACCACCCTGGTCAGCTTTAGGATGCAGCTGGGCATCCTGAGCTTTCTCTCTCCAGCCAGAGCCTCCTCTCCCGAGACAGCCGTCATGAT